TAGAGCGTGCAAAAAATCTTGAGAAAGGATCGATGTGCAGTATAGTTAACTGACGTTTCGACATCAACCGTGAAATTAGTGAGTGAAGTGAAGATATCAGTCTGCTGAAGACTTTTCACACAATTTACTTTATGAATTTATGGTATATAATTGCGTTGAACTTGGCATTGTATAGAACGCTTTTAAAACTTCTTTTCAGGAGTCATAAATCATATATGACAAAAGGTGTAATGTGTAATTAAAATCCACAGTCTACCACAAAGTGAATAAGTACAATCACGATGCATAGTTGGATATGATGTTCACGTATTTTACAGTTACTTAAACTACTTAAAAATGAGTCGCACTTTCTATAATAATACCAAAATGTATAAATGACYTAAGCTCTTCCTCAGCTCCCTTTGCAAAATTAATTCAATTACGAGATGCCCTCAAAATAATTTCTTGGCGATAATTTCTTCACTTTATATTTGTAAAAACGTTGGCAGTGGCTGTTGCCTCACCGCGATATTGCATATTGACTGACAAAGTAAACAAATTCTACTAGTTTTCTCCAACCTAACTTAATTTCCGCCATAAACTTTACAAATGTAAATCACTCCAACGTAACGATTTTCGTACGTACAGGCCAGGGACTACCAATTAATTAAAATAATTAATTTAAAATTTTTAATTTCCTTAAACGAAAAATGATCATATTACGACAACTATCGTTGTGGATTCAATCGCATTGTTCATATAATCTATATAACTTTTTGATAAGCACAAACTAAACAACTGGAAGCGAAATATGCTGTATATACTTTTTAGTTTCATCGCGTATTTCTGAATAAAATTCCTAAATGCGCAAGAATCAAACGGTGACAGCCATTTTATCATAAGACAAGAAACATTAGCGAGAGGCAGCATGAGCAATATGCATGTTATTTAATATAGAGGATATTGCATGGGGGCGAGGAGATACGGATTTTATCTTCTTTTTTTTATCTTCGCGATCCATACATCTATTAATAATCGCTTAGAATATTATTTACACTGCGACGATTATATTCATTAAACATTTATTCACCGCAGTCYGAACCATTACACGTGTTCCTTGGATTCACCCAATAAAATGACTTCTCGCCAACATATAGTTAGTTTCATAGTTCGGTTGGTAGAGCACTGCACAGGCATTTTATAGATAATATTATATGATAAAGAGACTTTATTATTTCAAATAAAACCTTCCAGGGTTTAAAAAACCGGTGTCAATAATGCTCAAGACCCATATCATTTGAATATGAGTGAAATGTGACGATTTAAGCAGGCATGAAATACTTTTAAGTAAAAAATAAAAAGTGATCATATTTTTAAGCGTTTTTAACCATTTTTTTGGACAATTTTTAACGAAAAAGCTTAAATGACGAGAATAACAAACCGACCATTGTGATTCTCTTAATTTATTTCCCAAACCACAAARCTGAAATCACTTAAATATATGACTATATGACTATATAATGTCGTCCCACAACAGGTTTTTTTTTACCGAGATGAATTAAACCTCGAGCTCATTGTTACCAAGGTATTTCTTTTCCTACTTTGGCGGTCACGATTATATACGCTGCCTGTACTACAAGTCGAAACTATTGCTTTGAAGTTTTCTCGGTAAATGCCGTTGAAAAAAAGATAAACAAAAAAGTTTGAAGTTAGACTCATGTGTGCTATAAACATAGAGGAAAACTCTAAATTAGCCCAGGTTAATRAAGGGATTTCATTTGCTTTWCCTAACGAGTGTAAAATAATAACAATTACAACAAAAATCCAGCAAAAGTACAACACAGCTACAATTGCAGCAGACACTTTCAAAACCTTTCGTCGCTGAATKTCCCTCTTTCTTCTTGTAATTGAGTGTTGTCTTCCAGGAGCCTTGTGGCGGCGAAGCTTGAACACAATCATGACGTATAGAGTTGTTATAATGGGAAAAGGGACTCCAACGTTTAGRGCAATCAGAAMATATCTGTGTATTTGGTCACCAGAACYATGAGATAGGCAAACTAGTGCATCTGCCTTTCCAGCCAAGCTACGGAAATAGAAATAAGGAGATACTATAGCAGCTGAGAAAATCCAAATTCCTGGGATGATCCACTTAAGTCGAGACTTSMTGAAGCCTCCCCTYAGTGGATTKGAAACGGCAAAATACCGGTCAATGGCGATGAAGAGGCAGCTATAAAAAGATACTGAGGTCGAGACATCAGGCACAAAAGAGACAAATTTGCACAAAGCAACACCAATGTTMCCAGGAATGAACCATCTGTTTCCAAAGTARATTTTTGAAACTCTCAATGGCACGATAAATAGCGTCGAGAGGAGATCGCTGACAGCCATGTTAGCTATTAGAAAGTTATTTGTTGTTTTCAATCTAGTGTCTTTGTGAATGACCACAATGATGAGAGAATTCCCAATAACTGACGCTAAGAAGAGGACACTGTATGCTATTGTTTTTGGCAATTGCTGATTTTCCAAGCTAGTGTTTGAAAAGACATTTGAATTAAAAGACGAAGATCTGTTCTGTAGGATATTCATTCTTATATAGGCTTATTCACAATGATAACATCAATAAGATGAAGTGCTTTTAAACATATATGACATTCTATGGAGATTAAGCCGACAACAGTTGCAGTTAAGTACAGTAATTTCCATAGTTTTTATTGGCCGTTCGGGTGCTAAAAGGCTTTGATTATTACAAGGATTACTTTAAACATTCAATTTTAAAGCCCTCATGACACTTACCAGTTATTGGTACATATAGATGAGAAAAAGAAAGCAAAACAAAGCAAAAATAAACAGGTTTTCGTTTTAGAGTATGCAAAAATATATTCAAGATGGAGATCAAGTCCTGGATTATAACTCTTCTGCTATCATGCTGCTGCTATAATTAACACTTAAGAAACTGTTTCGGAAACCATGTTTTTTTTTTGTCATCTTTTTAGACCCTAAGGTGAAGAATGTACTTTGCATCTTGTCAATGAAGCCGCATTCTATGCCAAATGTTACCAAAAAAATGTTGTTTAGATATGATATATTCTTCGTTTGATTGCTTACTATGTTTTATCAAAGCATTTATCTTTTGTTATTATAAACTTTTGTTTTCTTTTATTATTGATATTTCTGAGTATATTTATACATCTAACGACCTCCAACATTCTCATACTTTTTATAATGATTTTTGTTTTTATTA